GAGTAGCTGGGATTACAGGCACGCGCCACCATACCCAGCTAATTTTTTGTATTTTTAGTAGAGATGGGGTTTCACCATGTTGACCAGGATGGTCTCGATCTCTTGACCTCGTGATCCACCCGCCTCGGCCTCCCAGAGTGCTGGGATTACAGGCTTGAGCCACCGCGCCCGGCCCTAAGTTTATCTTTTAAGACAACCAAATACAGCTGTAAATCATAGAAAAATGAATTCAGCTCTCCCAGGTTTGTGCAGAGTCCCCTTTGGGCCTTCCCAGTTAGTTGCTTTTACAGTGTTTTTCACACCAGGCTGACTATCAGATTAATGTCTATTATAATGATCACATTGTTGGTTCTATCCCAGACTTTCTGAATGATCATGTTGTTGGTTCTATCCCAAACTTTCTGAATGCTGAATCAGCATCAGTTGTTGGATAGAACCAACAACGTGATCATTATATTTTTCCTCTTCTTCAAAGAGGTAAGAATCTAGTGGAGGAGAAAAATAAATCCACAATCATACCGTAGTGCAGTAACGAATGTGAACCAGAGTTATGCACAGGATGGAATAAAGGGGTAAAGTAATTACCTAGATCAAGTAGTTTGGTATGGCTGGAGAATACTTTTATTTTGTTTTACATTCCTGGCACGTGGCATAGTTCTTGAGAGCATGTACTAAGTACTCAAAAATATTTGTTGAAGAAGTAGAGTTAAAAAGCAGTTTATTCTCTGAAACTATTCTGAAAAAAAAAAAAGAAAAAATAAATAAAAATGATATACTAGAATATGCTGAGTGCATAAGCAAAAAAAAAAAAAAACTATTCTGTATGCTGCAATAATGGTGGATACATGTCATTATTATACATATGTTAAATCCCAGAGAATGGGCGGGGCCTCAGTGGCTCATGTCTATAATCCTAACACTTTGGAAGGCCAAAGAGGGAGGATTGCTTCAACCCTGGAATTCCATACCAGTCTGGGCAACATAGGGTGACCCCATTTCTACAAAAAAATTTAAAAATTAGTGGGGCATGGTAGTGTATGCCTATAATCCCAGCTGCTTTGGAGGCTGAGGCAGGACAATTGCTTGAGCCCAGGAGGCTGAGGCTACAGGAAACTGTAATTGTGCCACTGCACTGCAGCCTGGATGGCAGAATGAGACCCTGTCACAAAAAAACAAACCCATAGAATATACACAAGCAAGAGTGAACCCTGATGTAAAATCTGGACTTTGGGTAACAATGACGTGTCAATATAGGTTTGTTGATTGTAACAAATATGCCACTTTGGTAGTAGCAGATGTTGATAATGGGAGAGGCTATGCATGCGTCAGGGGTAGGGTGTATATGAGAAATCTCTGTACCTTTGGCTCAGTTTTGCTGTGAAAATTTACTCTAAATTAATTCAAAACAAAAGCAGCTTGTTAGGAAGTTATTAGGGTGCTTCCTCTCTAAATATGAAATTTTTAGAAACGTTTCCACATTTTTAAATTTGGTATTCTTATGTCTGTGACCAAACATTTTTCTAGGGAAATGCATCTCTAATTTTCACAGCAATTTATTTTATATCAAACTTTTCCAGATTTATTTTCTTAAACTGACTTTCTATCCAAATGTATGGTGGAGGTTGAAAGTAAGTTTTCACTCATTGATTACTTCATTAATGGCAGTTATTATTTTTAACTAAGGTATAAATAACCTTAATAAATCATCTTTTTGTTTCCTTTTCAGCGTGCTCATGGATAACATGAAACACCTATTAAAGCTAAATAAATTAGTAATGAAATTACAGCAGGTAAACTTACACGTTAGGCTGCTTATGCATTCTCATTTCACTCTCAGCTTCTTGCTGGTAACTGTATTGTATATGATTAAATAGGATTATCCAAAGGGAATGCTATGATTGGAATTCACTGTCCTTAAGTTCTCTCTTTTTTTTCAAAATTCTATTATTTCTGACTAATGTTGAATATTATCTACTTATTATTTAAGCCACTGTCTTCCTTTTGTTGTGTGGAAATAGAAGAATTGAAAACTGAGCCGGGCGCGGTGGCTCAAGCCTGTAATCCCAGCACTTTGGGAGGCCGAGGCGGGTGGATCACAAGGTCAAGAGATCGAGACCATCCTGGTCAACATGGTGAAACCCCGTCTCTACTAAAAATACAAAAAATCAGCTGGGCATGGTGGCGCATGCCTGTAATCCCAGCTACTCAGGAGGCTGAGGCAGGAGAATTGCCTGAACCCAGGAGACGGAGGTTGTGGTGAGCCGAGATCGCGCCATTGCACTCCAGCCTGGGCAACAAGAGAAACTCTGTCTCTAAAAAAAAAAAAAAAAAAGAAAAGAAAACTGGAACTTTAGATAATTAAGGCTAATAGATAAAACTCAGTGATTTAAGTATTACAGGTTTGTCCTTACACATAGTAATGTGCTTTAACTTTTTTATTTTTAATAACAGGAATCTTGGGATTTAGAGGAAAAACTGCTTGATATTAGAAAGAAGAGATTGCGTATGTAGAACACTTTTTTTTTGGCAGAACATATTTTGTTTACTTTATAGATTGATAAGACCATATTTCTTAGCCACTGAGAAATTTCCTAATTTCTAACTTTCAAATTTCTTAAAATTTTTGATATGGCAGTTTAAAAAGTGAAATGTAAAGTACATTTTGCTCTATTTATCCTCATTGTTTTAGAACTTTTATTTCTTTTTTTTTTTCTTGAGACTGAGTTTCACTCTGTTGCCAGGCTAGAGTGCAGTGGCACAATCTTAGCTCACTGCAGCCTCTACCTCTTGGGTTCAAGGGATTTTCCTGCTTCAGCCTCCCGAGTAGCTGAGACTAACAGGCATGTGCCACCAGGCCCAGCTAATTTTTGTATTTTTAGTAGAGATGGGGTTTTACCATGTTGGTCAGGATGGTCTCGATCTCCTGATGTTGTGATCCGCCCACCTCGGCCTCCCAAAGTGCTGGGATTACAGGCATGAGCCACCGCACCTGGCCTGTTTTATTTGTTTGTTTATTTGTTTTTTGAGAGTCTTGCTCAGTCACCCAGGTGGAGTGCAGTCTTGCTCTGTCACCCAGGTGGAGTGCAGTGGTGTGCTATCTCAGCTCACTACAACCTCCATCTCCCTGGTTCAAGTGATTCTTACGTCTCAGCCTCCTGAGTAGCTGGGACTACAGGCACCTGCCATCATGCCCAACTAATTTTTGTATTTTTATTTTTAAAAAACATTTTAAATTTTTTTTTTTTTTTTTTTGAGACAGAGTCTCACTCTGTTGCCCAGGCTGGAGTGCACTGGCATGATCTTGCGCACTGCAACTTCCACCTCCCAGGTTCAAGCAATTCTCGTGCCTCAACCTCCAGAGTAGCTGAGATTACAGGTGTGAGCCACCATACCTGGCTAGTTTTTATATATTTTTAGTAGAGATGGGGTTTCACCATGTTGGCCAGGCTAGTCTTGAACTGCTGACCTCAGGTAATCCACCACCCTCGGCCTCCCAAAGTGCTGGGATTACAGGCATGAGCCACCACTCCATGCCTCATTGTTTTAGAACTTTAAATCACAAAATTAATCCATTCTTAGCAGGGGAAAAATAAAATGATGTGTAATGAAAAAGTCATGCGTCTTTTCTACATGGTGACAGTTGGGTATTTATCATTCTAGACTTTTCCATGTCCGTGTAAACATTTATATATACATAATTTCTAAATGATCAAAGGATATGTATGGATCTACAGCCTTTTCACTTAATTTATCATGACATGAGATGATTTTTTGCACCGAAACAATTGAAATGTTTATTTCAAAAGCAATACATACTCTAGAAAATTTGGAAACAAAAGTATACATTGGAAAAGTTAAATTTTTAAATTTTACATCAATAGATAATCAGTCTTCAGGCTTTTTTCTTTTTTTTTTTTTTTTTTTTTTTTTTTTTTGGTGAGAAACGATCTTGCTCTGTCACCCAAGCTGGAGTACCATGGCATGATCACAGTTCGTTGCAGCTTCAAACTCCTGGGCTCAGCCTACCAAGTAGCTGGGAATACAAGGGCAGTCCACCATGCCCAGCTAACTTTTGTGGTTTTTTTGGCATAGAATCTCCCTGTGTTACCCAGGTTTATCTTGAACTTCTGCCCTAAATGATCCTCCTGCCTTGGCCTCCCAAAGTACTAGGATTACAGGCATGAGCTACTGCACTTGGCCAGTATTTCTTTTTTTTTTTTTTTTTTTTTTGAAACAGTCTTGCTTTGTTTCCCAGGTTGGAGTCCAGTGGCGCAATCTTGGCTCACTGCAACCTCCATCTCCTGGGCTCAAGCCATTCTTCTACCTCGGCCTTCTAAGTAGCTGGGATTACAAGTGCACCACCACCATGCCTGGCTAATTTTTGTATTTTTAGTAGAGACAGAGTTTCACCACGTTGGCCAGGCTGGTCTCAAACTCCTCACCTCGGGTGATCTGCCCGCCTCAGCCTCCCAAAGTGCTGGGATTATAGGCATGAGCCACTGCACCCTGCCTCCTTGTTTTTTGAGACTGGGTCTTGTTCTCTTGCTCAGACTGGAGTGCAGTGGCATGCTAATAGCTCACTACAGCCTTAACCTCCTGGGCTCAAGCAATCTTTCCACTTCAGCATCCCTAGTAGTCAGGACTACAGGCACATGACACCATGCCTGGCTAATTGTTTTCTTATGTAGATTTATCATTTTTTTCTGTAGAGATGGGGTTTCACCATGTTGCCCAGGCCGGTATAGAACTCCTGGGCTCAAGTGATCCACCCACCTTGGCCTCCCAAATTGGTGGGATTACAGACGTGAGCCACTGCGCCCAACCAGATTTGTTTTTTTGAGACAAGGTTTCACTCTTGTTGCCCATACTGCAGTGCAGTGGGACAATTTCTGCTCACCACAACCTCTGCCTCCCATGTTTGAGTGATTTTCCTGCTTCAGCCTCCTGAGTAGCTGGGATTACAGGCATGCACCATGACACCAGGCTAATTTTGTCTTTTTAGTAGAGACTGGGTTTCTCCATGTTGGTCAGGCTGGTCTCGAACTCCAGACCTCAGGTGATCTGCCTGCCTCGGCCTCCCAGAGTGCTGGGATTATAGGCATAACCCATGGTCCCTGGCTGGTTTCTTTTTTTTTTTTTTTTTTTTTTAAGACAGAGTTTCTCTCTTGTCACCTAGGCTGGAGTACAGTGGTGCGATTTTGGCTCACTGCAACCTCTACCTCCCAGGTTCAAGTAGTTCTCCTACCTCAGCCTCCTGAGTAGCTGGAATTATAGGTGCCCATCACCATGCCCAGCCAATTTTTATATTTTTAGTAGAGACGGGGTTGCACCATGTTGGCCAGGTTGGTCTCCAGCTCCTGACCTCAGGTGATCCACCCGCCTTAGACTCCCAAAGTGCTGGGATTACAGGCGTGAGCCACCATATGCAGCCCAAATCTGTTCTTTTCAAACATTATGTAGATTTGCCTGTTAGCAAATAATCTCAGAGTATTGGTCATCTTGTCTAATCCCCCTGCTTTTTTTTTTTTTTTTTTAAGTAGAATCAGGGTCTTGTCCAAGCTAGTCTTGAACTTCTGGACCTAAGTAATCCTCCTGCCTCAGCCTTCCAAAGTGTTGAGATTATAAGAATGAGCCACCTGTGCTTGGGCTATACTTTTTTGATGTTTCATTTTCTCCACTGTATTCCAGCCTTCTTGAATACATTGATGTTGAAGAACAGGCCTCTGAAATACATCCATTTATATTTCCAAGTAGTTTAATTCTTAGACTATTTCCAGAAATACAAAAATGGGTGATGACGTTTCTCCCTGGAGAGGAGAATCTTAGTTTTCTTTTCTTTTTTTCCCTGAGACGGAGTTTCACTTTTGACTTTTGTTGCCCAGGCTGGAGTGCAATGATGTGATCTCGGCTCACTGCAACCTCCGCCTCCTGCCAGAGTGATTCTCCTGCCTCAGCCTCCCAAGTAGCTGATATTATAGGTGCCTACCACCACTCCCGGCTACTTTTTGCATTTTTAGTAGAGATGGGGTTTCACCATGTTGGCCAGGCTGTTCTCAAACTCCTGACTTGAGGTGATCTGTCCGCCTTGGCCTCCCAAAGTGCTGGGATTACAGGTGTGAGCCACCACACCTGGCCAAAAATATTTCTTTCTATGTATTTCCTACCTAGTTTGGCAACCCAAAATAAGTGCTCATTACATGATGCCACTTGAAACATCTGTAGATAGCTGTTATTGTCATACATAAATACCTGGAATATGTCACTAAGGGCATTGCTAAGTACAAAATTAAAATATTGTTATTTTGCATCAGGGAAGTTGTTTTCAGATCAGAATAAAATTGCAACCTAAATTGCTGCTTAGTAAAATTTTTCTCTTGACTAAAATAACCAGGAAGTGATCTGCTTCATGATTTTTCAAGATCCTTGTTTGTAGAGGTATCATATATGGTATATTATTTTATTTTTTACCTAACAGAATTAAAACAAGCTTCAGAAAGTAAGCTTTTAGAAATACAGACTGAAAAGAACAAACAGAAGATTGATTTGGACGGTATGGAAAACTCAGAGAGGATAAAGATCATACGACAAAACCTACAGATGGAGATAAAAATTACTACAGTTATTCAACATGTGTTCCAGGTAACATTTATATAAACTAATAAGGAAGGTAAATAACTTTTTTTTTTTTTTTTGAGATGGAGTTTCACTTTTGTCACCCAGGCTGGAGTGAAATGGCATGGTCTCAGCTCACTGCAACCTCTGCCTCCCAAGTTCAAGCAATTCTCCTGTCTCAACCTCCCAAATAGCTGGGATTATAGGCACCCTCTACCAGACCCAGCTAATTTTTGTTTTTTTTTTTTTTTTTTTTGAGACGGAGTTTCACTCTTGTTGCCCAGGCTGGAGTGCAATGGCGCGATCTCAGCTCACCGCAACCTCCGCCTCCTGGGTTCAGGCAATTCTCCTGCCTCAGCCTCCTGAGTAGCTGGGATTACAGGCATGCGCCACCATGCCCAGCCGATTTTTTGTATTTTTAGTAGAGACGGGGTTTCACTATGTTGACCAGGATGGTCTCGATCTCTTGACCTCGTGATCCACCCGCCTCAGCCTCCCAAAGTGCTGGGATTACAGGCGTGAGCCACCGCGCCCGGCCAATTTATGTATTTTATGTAGAGACAGGGTTTCACCACGTTGGCCAGGCTGGTCTCAAACTCCTCACCTCAGGTGACCCACCCCCCTTAGCCTTCCAAAGTGCTGGGATTACAGGTGTGTGCCACCGTACCTGGCCAACTTTTTGATGATGCTATTATACAATACTGACTTAACTTTCAGCTAGTTTTTGATCCTGATGAAATAATTCAGTGTTTAATTTTGGTCTATTTACATATATCTGTAAATAAGTATATATCTGTACATAAGTCTATATACACTTAATGTTTAAGGTCTTGATTTTTTTTTTTTCTTTTTTCAGACAGTCTCACTCTGTAGCCCAAGGCTGGAATGCAGTGGCATGATCTCAGCTCACTGCAACCTCCGCCTCCTGGGTTCAAGCAATTCTCCTGCCTCAGCCTCCTGGGCAGCTGGGATTATCCTGCCACCACATCTGGCTAATTTTTGAGACCAGCCTGGCAACACAGTGAAACTCTGTCTCTACTAAAATACAAAAATACAGCTAGTTTTGATCCTGATGAAATAATTCAATGTTTAATTTTGGTCGTTTATATATATCTGGAATTCGAATATACCTAATGTTTAAGGTCTTTTTTTTTTTTTTTCTTTTTTCAGACAGAGTTTTACTCTGTAGCCCAAGCTGGAGTTTTGCCATGTTGGCCAGACTAGTCTTGAACTTGTGACCTCAGGTGATGCACCTGGCTCGGCTTCCCAAAATGCCAGAATTACAGGGTTGAGCCACTACGCCCAGCACACTCCAAGTATTTTTAACGAGTAAAACCTATTCATAGAAACTGATGAGGCAGTTATAAATAATAAAAAAGAAGTATTTTTTTTTCTTACTGCAGAGAATAAAGTGAGAACATAAAAAATTATTGTAAGCATGTGAATATTCCCTAACATGGAGATCAAGGCTAAACCCATGCTAAAAGTGGAAATGAAAATAGAAGAATATGGCTGGGTGAGGTGGCTCATGGCTGTAATCCCAGCACTTTGGGAGGCTGAGGTGGGCAAATCATGAGGTCAGGAGATCAAGAGCAGCCTAGCCAAGAGACCAGGCTGGCCAATATGGTGAAACCCCATCTCTACTAAAAATACAAAAATTAGCTGGGTGTGGTGGCAGGTGCCTGTTATCCCGGCTACTCAGGGTGCTTGAACCCAGGAGGCAGAGGTTGCAGTAAGCCGAAGATACGCCATTGTACTTTATCCTGGGTGACAGAGCGAGACTCTGACTCAAAAAAAAGAAAATAGAAGAACGTATTACTGTTTTTTTCTTATGATCACAGAGATACACACCTAATAAATATTAATTATTTGATAAGATTAGTGAAATTATATTTTAAATCTTAAATTTTTAAAGTACTTATAACTTTTAAAACTTTTTTTTTTTTTTACAGAACCTTATTTTGGGGAGTAAAGTCAATTGGGCAGAGGATTCTGCCCTTAAGGAAATTGTTCTGCAGCTTGAGAAGAATGTCGACATGATCTAATAAGAATTCATTTCTGACATAGTTTACATTTCTGGCAGTCCCAACTCTTATTTGGAATATTTTTGTGCATTTGTTTGTCAACTGTAATTTTAGAATATCCACAGTGTTTACAGTTGTGGTTAGTTATTTGTAGTGGGATTGAAAAAAGTGACTTTTTAAAATATATATATTTATATTTAGTTTGCTTTTTTTTTTTTTTGAGACAGAGTCTAGCTCCACTGCCCAGACTAGAGTGCAGTGGTGTGATCTTGGCTCACTGCTACCTCTGCCTCCTGGGTTCAAGCAATTCTCCTGCTTCAGCCTCCTGAGTAACTGTGACTAAAGGTGCACACTGCCATACCTGGCTAATTTTTTGTATTTTAGTAGAGACGGGGTTTCATTGTGTTGCCAGGCTGGTCTCAAACTCCTGAGCTCAGGTATTCCACTGCCTTGGCCTCCCAAAGTAGTAGGATTACAGGCATGAGCCACCGCACCCTACCTAGTTTGCATTTTTGGTATCAGTTATATAAGTTAGGACATAAAAGGAATTCATGTTACTCTGTCTTTAAAAAAAAAAAAAAATTCATGCCCTTTCCAAACAGCAGTACTCTATCTTAGTAATTATAAAATAGAACTTGCCACTTTTTATAGCATCACGGTCCATTTTTGAAAAACTCTAATTTGAGCACTTAATTTGGAGCTGTTGAACATTTTTACAGCTAATGTATTTTCAACATTCTTTGTTTGTTTGTTTCCTTGAGACAGAGTCTCACTCTTTCACCCAGGCTGGAATGCAGTTGTGTGATTTCAGCTCACTGCAACCTCCATCTCCCAGGTTCAAGCAATTCTGATGGCTCAGCCTCCTGAGTAGCTGAGATTACAGGTGTGGGCCACCATGCCCATCTAATTTTTTGTATTTTTAGTTGAGATGGAGGTTTCACAATGTTGGTCTGGCTGGTCTCGAACTCCTGACCTCAAATTATCTGCCCACTTTGGCCTCCCAGACTCCTGGGATTACAGGCATGAGCCACTGCACCTGGCCTCAACATTCTTTTTAGAAGGACTTTAAACCTCAAATGATGGTAGCTTTTTTTTTTTTTTTTCTTGAGATGGAGTCTGGCCCTTTTGCCCAGGCTAGAGTGCAGTGTGGCGTGATCTCAGCTCACTGCAACCTCCGCCTCCCAGGTTCAAGGGATTCTTCTACCTCAGCCTTGCTAGTATCAGGGACCACAGGCATGTGGTACAACACCTGGCTATTGTGTTTTTGGTACAGATGGGATTTCACCATGTTGCCCAGGCTGGGCTCAAAACTCCTGAGCTCAAGCAATCCACCCACTTTGGCCTCCCAAAGTGCTGAGCCACTGCACCTGGCCAAGTGCCTGCTTAAAGATCGATTCTGAGAGAGAACTTGTATTAACTTTTCCCAAAATCATACTGAATAATAACCCCAAATCTCAGTGGCTTATAACAAGACATTTCTGTTTTGGGTCTGTGCTTCAGCTGATAATTCTAGGACTCAGGCTGACGGAACAGCCACAATCTGAAACATTCTCATGGCATAGGGTCGGAGCTTATGAAGCCAAGTTCAATTATACCAGTGTGATTAAAGCTGCTGCTTGAAAGAGGTGGACACTGACAAAACCTGACATCATTGCGGCAAGAAAGTATACTTCTCCCATGGCAGGGGGTGCTGGGTTTCAGAGTTGGAGAAAGAAAACGGGTATTTACTGAAAGAATACAATCTATTAGGCCGGGTGTGGTGGCTCATGCCTGTAATCCCAGTACTTTGGGAGGACGATGCAGGCGGATCACGAGGTCAAGAGATCAAGACCATCCTGGCCAACATGGTGAAATACTATCTCTACTAAAAATACAAAAAATTAGCCGGTGTGGTGGTGCGTGCCTGTAGTCCCAGCTACTCGGGAGGCTGAGGCAGGAGAATTGCTTGATACTGGAAAACGGAAGTTGCAGTGAGCGGGGACCACACCACTGTACTCCAGCCTGGTGATAGTGCAAGACTCCATCTCAAAAAAAAAAAAAAAGAATACAGTCTATTAAACTCAGCTATCTTGGTCATAAATATTAACTTCCTTTCTGCATTCTGCATGCAAAAGACACTTCCCAACAAAGATAAGAGATAACACTAATAGTGTCATCCAATTGTTAGTTTTTTTTCAAAGTTCAGTTTTTCATATCAGGTCCAGATGTAGCCCTTCATCTAGAGACTTATGAACTGAAAAGATATATCAACTCGCACATCCAGCAAACAGCAGTGGAACAGGTCTGCAGTCTGTAGCAATTTTTTTTTTTTTTTTAGTAGAGACAGGGTCTCACTTTGTTGCCCTGGCTGGTCTCAAATTCCTGGGCTAAAGCTATCTACCCACTTCAGCCTCCTGTGGTGCTGGAATTATAGGTGTGAGCCACCACACCCAGCCAATATCTTAAGTATTACTTGCCAAATGATAGGAGATTCCCCTTCCTAAGGGATAGGGAATGACATTGATGAGGCTCTTGTGTTGCTTCCTGGAAGCACTTCATCCACGTTCTTCACTCTGCCTGTGGAAAGGTTCTACCTTTTTCATTATCAATGTCGGCCATATCTCTGAGGAGGGCATTAGAGAGTATGTCCTTCTGAGCAGCGAGACTTTCTCAAGTTGGGGACACAAAGATGTTTTTTTTTTTTTTTTTTTTTTTTTTTTTAGGGGGTGGTTTCTTGCATTCACCACGCGTGGGGGGAAATAGGGGGTCGTGGGGCCCCCCCAC